CGCTGAGTGGGCTCGTTTGTTTTGCAGCTGATACCGCCAATCTGCCAAAAGGTCCTTTTCTGAAGTAATCGATGCCCAGTCCTTAAGCCACTCACTAACACATCCTAGTGGTTGACAATTATCTTTCCAGCTAAGGCCAAAGAGCCCCTTTATCCTCCCCTCCATCCAGGCTCCCTGCTGTGCCGACACGTGTGAACCTCACGGGAAACAGCCTGACTCCAGATGTGGGAGGGGGATCGCTAGGCCAGGCAGCACCCCCACAGGCCACCGCAGAGTCGTGAGGTCGCAGCGGCTGCGGAGGGAGCACTAAGGGCTGGGACAGGGGTCCCACGGGGAAGCTGGCGGGCTTGCACGGGGCGGGGGTGGCGGGGCGAGCTTGGAGCCCTGCTCCTGGATCCTGACCCCGGCCTGCGGCGGTCTTGCCAGAGTTCATCAAATAAGAGCAGTGCCGAGGAGACAGGAGATGGGAAAGCGCTGAGAGCAAGAAGGGCTCTGGCTTTTCAGTTGGAAACTCGGTTTATATTTCAGCCTTTCTGACAACCTTGGGGAGAGCGCCCTCCCTCCCCGGATCCTAACACAGCTAGCTGGGAGGAGACCAGGAAAGAATGCGCAGCTCTGTCCCCATTCCGTTCTGGAGCCAGCTCTGAAGTGCCCACCGCTGTCCAGATGGACCCGCCCTCCTCTGGGAATCTGCTAAGAATTCATCGCAACCTCTCGGAGCACCTCCTGGGACGCCAGCCCGGCAGGTGGATAGAATCCTGTCTGTGTCCTCTAAGGGCGCTGCCCAGGAGAAGAATTCGGTGAAAAGTGAGTCCTCAGAACAAGACGTTTCCACCGGCCGCATCCAGCTTGCGGGCCAGGATGAATGAAGAATGTCAAGGACGCGATTTTCGGGACATCCCTCATGTCCTTAAGGCATTAAGCGGTAGAGTCCCTGGATCCTTCCCAAGACCCTTCTGAGGCTTCAGGAGGGAGAACCCTTTCCTCTCTCTCTCTTTTTAATTATGGTAAATTACACACATAAAAGTGCACACCTTGGTGTCATTAAGCACAAACACATTGTCGTGTGACCCTCCCCGCCATTATCTCCAGAACGTTCTCATCTTCCTAAACTGAAAACATTCAGTTTTCATGAAACATTCCCCTTCCCCTCCCCCAGCCCCGGCCCCACCCTCTACTTCCTGTCTCCTCCAGAGACCTCCTGTGAGAGGACTCAGACAGTATTTGTCTTCCTGTGTCTGGTCAGCAGAATAACAGCTGCAAAGATGTCCCTGTCCTGCACCTGGGAACCGAGGACGTGTCACCTCGCACAGCAGAGGGGACTCTGCAGGTGGGGTTAAGTTCAGTTCCCCGGGATGGGGGTGACCCTGGATCCTGAGGGACCCCGTGCCATCACAGGGTCCTCATCAGAAGGAGACGGGGGAAGCTGCGCTGCTGGCGGTGAGGATGGAGGGAGGGGCCGCGAGCCAGGGATGCGGCGCCTCTAGGAGCTGGAGAAGGCAGGAGCCGCTTCTCCCTGGAGCCTCTGGAGGGAACAGCCCCGCCCAGGCCTGGGTTTAGCCCCGGGAGGCCCGAGTCAGACTCTGGACCTCCAGGACCGTCAGAGAGCAGATCTGCGCGCACCCGCTTGTGGTGACTTGTTCCATCCGCCCCAGAGGACGCACATTCTCAGAGCAGTGCGACCAGGGGACAGGCCCATCGGCACCAGGGAGAGGACGTGGTAGGCGATTGTGGAGGACCTGGTGAGACTCTGACAGGTTGTATCTGGGGCTTCAAAATTGCCTTCCTGAAGGGCGGGTGGGGAAGAACTGCCCGAACCCCAGAGAAGAGGCTGATCTTGGCCACCGAGGGGCATGCTGCAAGCTCTCCCCGGACACGGACCCTGCCTCCTTCCCAGACTGCGGTCTCCCTGACAGCAGGCGCCCCCTCCCTCAGTCTGGGGTCCCCCGGACAGAGACCCCGCCCCCTCCCTGAGGCTGTCTCTCTTCTGTCTGTCGCAGCCCCCCCTCGACCTCACCTACCCCCTTGCCCTGGGCGCCCTGGGGCTCGCAGAGCCCTGCCCCACCTCACCTATTGCAAGCCAAGCTGCCTCCTGAGCCCAGTGTGGGCTGTTTTCAAGCTGAAGCTCTTAAAATAGCTGTAAGTGGTTTTCCCCAAGGGGGCTGCAGAGGAAGGCACAGGAAGGAGGCTGCGGGGCCAGGGGCAGCAGGAGGGGACGCGCCCTGCCAGGGTGGGTTGTCACCAGCTGCTTGAGGCCATCGGGGCAGTGGTGTGGGGCTGCTGTCGGGGTCAACCTGAGGTCCAGGTTGCCCAGGGGCTGGTCCCAACCCCATCCTTGCGTGTGGCAGGGAAACCAAGGCAGGGTGGTGGGACGGCCACACCGCGGGTGACAGCAGAGCCGGGTTTAGGTCCAACACCACAGCCTTACCCAGAACCATCTTGTCTGCCAGGCAGGGCCAGCTAACGACCCCTCCAACCTCCCCTGAAGCCGGGTGGGACACAGACTCAGCCACAGGGAGAAGAACGGGCCTGGTGTTACCGAAGACATTCACTCGCTCGCTGGACAAGCGCGGATTGAGCACCTTCTGCAGGCCACACGCTGGGAGGTGACTGGGACAGCCTGTGGTGGGGCGGGGACAGGACACAGCCGCCTGGAAGCAGTGAGCGTCACCAAGAGAAATGACACAGACGGAGGGGAGGTTCAGCACAGCCACCCACGCCAGGTGGGGTCCAGGGGCCAGAAACTTGCTTTATTTCAAGGTGGAGGGGAAGGACCTGCCTCAGCCCCCAAATCCAGCCCTTTCCTCAGCCAGGGAGGGAGGGGGGCTTCCCCACAGGATCCTGTGACGTCAGAGCCATGCTGTGCCTCGGAGGGGGCTTGAAAGCGGCACAGAGACCCTCAGGTGGGGCGCTCAGGCCTCTGCCTTCAGACTAGAGGCTCCCCAGGGGAGGGGGCGAGCATCTCCCCTCTCAGACCAGCAGAAACTATTACATCTGGACGTGAGGCGGCTGGTCTCCTTCCTTCTTGGCCCCAGAAGCATTTGGCAAAATCGTAGAAGCAGAGTGTCATCCCCAACTCGAGACCCAGAAAGCACAACAATTTCTCCAGGAAAAGGAAAATGGAAAAGAGAACTCCCCAGCCCCAAGTGTATCTGCCCTCAGGGCTGTGGGCAGGGGATCTGTGGGTTTGAACAGGGACCCGTGTCCCAAGGCCGGGTGCTGGCCGCTCCCACAAGGCAGGCAGGGCGGGCGCGGGTCGGGCCCCAGGCTCAGCCCTCGTCTTCACTGGTGTAGACGCGGGCTTCCCAGCGCTCAGCCATGGCGTTCTTGTGGCGGGTCACCCGCGTGGCTTCCAGGACCTGCCAGAGGAGGCACGGGGTCCCCATCAGGTCCTAACCTCCCAAGACATCTCCCCCAACAGCTGACTCACAGGAGAGGCCTAGAACAGGGTAAAGCAGGACCATCCCCTCCTCTTGTCAGACCCTCTGCTCCTCGTAATAGTGCCCAGGAGTGTCCTCACTCCTGCCCAGCTCCACAGCAGGGGACATGCCCAGGTCAAAGAGGGCCACGCCAGATCCCACAAATCCACGGAGGTTCCTGGCCTCCTACACTCCCAGGGGAGCCCATCCCTCAAAGGAAATGCCCTTGTCCTATGCCACATCTGCCCCCAAACCATCTAGTAAACAGGCAGCCCATGGACTGCCTTTCATCAAAAGTGGATCACAGCAAAATGCACCATAGGCAGACACTAAATCGAGAAGCCATCCAGGGAAGCCCCCTGACCCCCACCATCCAGAAGAAAAGCTTCTGGTGGCCCCAGTGCACCTGAGCAGGGAGCACAGATGCGGGAGGGAACCGCTCCAGCCATATAGCCCTCCTCCCTCCTGGGCAGAGGGGTCCTTGCCCCTGGGAGCACACTCACCTCCGAGTTAATGTGGTCCAAGGGGCTGATGCCAGCATACTGCAGGGAGGAACAGACGTCATTCCCTGGGGTCTTCCACCCTGTCCCACCCCAGAGCCCACTCAGTCACCACTTAGGGCAGAAGGGAAGCGATCCCGGGCCACAGTGGTCCCCCCAGTGCCGCTTGGTCACCCCAAACTCAGAGCCATCCACCAGGCTGTTCCCTCACACTAGTCCCCTTAGGGATGCCTTGGGCCACCATTTGCAGCTGTTTTCTCTTTGTAAACTTCCTTGTAATAAAGACAGTTGACATTTATGGAGCTCTTGCTGCCACCAGGCCCTCGAAGGTTTGAAGGAGTCTGTTCTCATTACCATGCTCATTTTACAGAGGAGGAGACTGAGGGTCAGAGAGGGGCCCAACATCATACAGCCAGCCAGTGGCAGGGCTGGGACTTGAACCCAGGTCCCTGGGCTCCACTCTGCCCCAAACCACCAGAACAGGCTGTGACCGCCAGGAGGGCGAGCCTGGGGGCGATGTTTTTCTCCCTGGTGCCAACAATACCCACCCAGGGAGGAGGCAGCCTCGTGGCTGCCAATGTGGGGTTCAGAGCCAGGCCTGGGCTCAAGTCCTGGCTCGGGGACCTGGCCATGTGACCCTGCGTGTGCGTGACTTTGGCTTTCTCTAAAAAAACTGGGGACAAAACATCTGTCCAGGGTGTTAAAGCCACAGCACGTGCAGACCCCTGAGCACGTCCCACGTGAGGTGCAGGTAATAATCAAAAATAACAAGGAGAGGAGAGTGTAGCTCAGTGGTGGAGCGCGTGCTCAGCATGCACGATGTCCTGGGTTCAGACCCCAGTGCCTCCAATAAACAAACAAACACACAATAAATAAACCTAATTACCTTCCCCCCCCCAAATGACGGTGGTAATAAACACATTGAAATAATGAGGATGATTTGATAGATTGCACTGACTCCTCCTCCAAGAAGAGCTCACCTCAGCCTTCGGCTCACCGTGGGGACCCTGCGTCTGCACGCAGTCCAGACAGGAAGGGATGCCCCGTTTACCCCTTCTGCTCCTCACGTGTGGGGGACACGGAGGCACAGTCACTTGGGGGTGGGCCATGAAGAAGGCAGGGCTCAAACCCAGCTCACACTGGAGCCTCCCTGGTCCTAATGAGGGGCGTCCGGTCTTGGCCAGGCATCCAGGGGGATGGCAGGGCTTGAGACTCACCCACTGCTCCCTCTTCTTCCTCTGTGCAGGGGCAGCCTCGGCCGGGGCCTCTGCCACTGTCCACGCCAGGCCCGAGTGCAGGTGAATTGGGGTGAAGAAGTGTGACTCAGACACTGAGTAGCTGCCTGTGATGCCTGGGGGTGAGGGGAAGGAAGGAACATCAGGGAGGGTCCCAGAGCCAGACTCCAGCCGGAGAGGCATGGAGTCTCTGGCTGAGAGGCTGGGCCAGTTAACGAGATGGGTAAGTGGACAGACAGACAGACGGAACAGGCAGCTGGTTGGGAAAACTAATAGCCTGGACAGACAGATGGGCTGACCGTACAAGGAGAAAAACATTGAAAGTGGCATGGGGGGGTAATTTCGTCTTGACGAAAATTGACCAAGAGGATAGAACACGTGTAAACCTTTATGCGCCTAATAACAAAGTATCAAAACCCATAAAATGAAAAACCCCAAGGCAAGTCGACTACTTTCTCCAAAATCTACTGCTGAATCAGACAGACAGGCAGACAGACCAGCCAACTGGGGTAGGGGACAACTGCCCCCCCGCAGATGTCCCCCCAGCCAAAGCCTCTCCTGACATCCCCCCACCCCTCCACTTCCACATCTGAGGCCCCGAGCAAACCCGCCACGCCCGGGATCCCTCCTTACCAGATGCCTGGGAGGAGCTCCTGGAGTCTTGGTCGTAGCACTCATCCGGCAGGGGTGGGGAGAAGACCTCAGGGAACAGAGCACTCCGCCGCTCTTCGGCCACCTCCCGCTCCCGCCGCAGGACACTCTCCACCTCCCTCTCCAGCAGCTCAGATGACTGGGACCTCTGCAGCTTCAGCGCCGGGGCCCCCGCCACCTCCCAGCCCCAAACTCGGGGGGCCTCAGCTTTCTCAGGCACACCCGGGACCGCAAACCTCAGGGGGCGCAGGAGGAAGTACTCGTGGCGCACAAGCCCTCTGGGGTGCAGGGGGCCCCTGGGGGGCACCTGCCTTGCGCCCGAGGGTTCTCCAGAGGATTCCGAGAGAAGGCTCTGAGCCGCTGCAGCCTGTGGAGCGCTCCCGGCCCTGGCCTTATCTGCAGGGAGGCTGCTGGGCTTGAGATTCGCACGGAAGGCTGGGAACTCTACTGGGGGCGTTCTGGGGCTCAGGTACGGCTGGTAGGCGTCAGGTGGGATGCGGTTCACCTTCCTCACCTCGGGAGCAGGGCTGGCCGCCCTGGCATCGGGGGCCGGGCCCAGGATGGAGTCTGAGCTGTGGGCTCTCCTGAGTCCAGGTGGCGGGCCCTCAGAGAAGCAGTCAGGCGTGGCCGACCGGCCCACCTGCAGGCCCTCCCGCCGGTGGTCCTCCTCGCGCTGCGTCTCCTGCGCGAGGTCCCGCTGCACGTAGAGAGACGGGCGCCCCCTGCCCCGCCGTGGGGCTGCAGCCAGGCTCACCCTGGTCAGCAGCAGCCTGGCGGGGATCTCCACCAGCTCCTGCTGGCTGAACACCCGCTGCAGCCCCCTCCGCTCTCGGAGGTCCGCCTCCCTCTCCTGTGCCAGCCGGATCTCCCGCTCGATGGGCGTCTCCTTGGGGGGCTCTGGTGACTCTGCGCGGGACTGGGAAGCAGGGTCGTCCATGGCTGGGACACCAGACCTGGCAGACAAACCAGGGACCCTCTTCTCCTCCACGACCACCTCCTTCACCTGGGACTTGACTGGGCTGACACACCCATTGGGCAGGGGCGGCCCGTTCGGGGGCTTGGAGGCCTGGCTGGGCCCGAATGGGCGGTTCCGAGGGGTCCCCGCATTCGCATAGGCTGGCCTGGCAGGGGGGTTTGCCTGCTCCAGGCTCAGAAACTGCTGCCTCGCTGCCAGGAAGTCGATCTGCTCTCTGTCGATCATGTTCTCCTCTGGGGGCGTGGCCTGCAGTCGGCCGGGGGTCCTGGGTTCCCCGTGGTCAGGGGTGCCATGGAGTGTGGCCACCGTGCCACTCTTCCTGACCGCCTGGCCCTGGATGACCACCCGACGCTCTCGCTCCAGGTCCTGTGGCCGCCTGGGCTGGGTGCCCCTGGTCTCCAGGTGGTAGGCCTTCACCTCCTCATCCTCATCGTCCTCTGGGCAGGGTGGCCATGGGGACAGCTGGCCAGGGCAGGCATGCAGGCTGCGAGACGTCCCTGTCTGCACCATTTCCAGCCGGGCCTCATGGTCAGTGGGCCATGCCTGTGGCTCATCCTGGCCCCAGCCACTGGCCATGGACCCCACGCCCACCAGCTCAATAGTGTAGCTGGTATCCCCATCGAGGGCCACACTGGTCACACGGGATGAGCGGGGGATGCTGAGGATGGGGTATCTGGTCACTCGGTCCATGTTCTGGGGGTCTCTGCCCACAACAGGCTCCCAGGATGGAGACAATCTGCGCTCACTGAGGGCAAAGAAGGGCGTGATGGTCACCAGCTCAGAGCACTTGGGGAGAGGCACAGTTCCCGGTCCCTTAAAGGGCAGAGTCCTGTCCCAGTGGCCGCTACTGTTGGTTCAGGGATGAGTAAGTGGCCCAGCCCTGCCAATCAGGGCGTTCCACCCTCTGGCCTCTGTAGTTGCTTCAGGGATGGACATGTGACCCAACCTGGCCAACGACATAGAACCCTGGGACTTTGCAGTTAGTGTGGAGAACTGGGTCCTCTTGCTGCTGGGCTTGTTAGGCTGGTGGGATGAGACCGAGAACCACGGGGGGGGGGGGCTGTGTGTCCGCTATGGACAGAGCTTGCTCAGGAGCATCCATAACCCCAACACAGGGTCCTGAAAACATTATTTGAGCTCCTGGATCCAGACACACCTGAATCCCTGTGCACCACCGTGCTGACCCAACAACTTGTTCCCCGTGTGTTTAACGTTTTCCCACCTCATCCCCTGGACACTGCACACCCTTTTGCAGTCAGCCTCTTCTGCCCCTCTCCTTCCACTCCTCCTTTCTCCCACCCAGCTAGCCATGTCTAGACCCAGCGCCACACCTGGGCAGCCTCCCTCCCAGGTTCACGTACACCCTGAGGTTCCTTACGTGGTTTTTGTCATGTAACATTTGCAGACGGCCCCAGTGGGACCACTCCTCGCTGGGTTATGTCAAGTGGGGAAGTTGGGGCCCAGAGAGAGCTAATGACTGGCAAAGACCTGCACAGACTGGTTCTTTCCCTTGCACCAGCCCAGTGGGACACCTCGTCCCATCCCAGACAAGCCCCTGTCTTTGTGCCATAAAGCCAGGATGAGCTAAGGAATGCCTTGGACCTTGTCTTGCTGGGCCAAGGGACATCTTGGCCCAATCCCCCTCCCAACCATCTGGGTTCCCACTGAGCACAGCTCAAGGAACCTTCGTGAAGGTCATACACCTGCTCTCATGCCTCCCTGATTCCCGGCGTCTCCGGGATGCAGTTCTCAAACTCTGCCCAGGGCACTCAAGGCTGCCATCTGGCCTCAGCCCAAACCCTCCAACTCTGCAGGCGCCAGACCTCAGACCCAAACTTCTCCCTCTTCCTTCTGCCTGGAGGACCCTCTTTTCTTCCCCTGCACGGTCTTGTCAGCTACAGCCCATAAGACAGCTCCTCCAGGGAGCCTCCAGATTGCCCTGCCCTTAGAGCCTGTTGCCTGGCCCTCTCCTGTGTACCCGGCCTAGCACGGTATTAGGCATCGCCTTTTTACAGCCAAGGGAAGGAAGGCGGACCACCCTCAACTCCTCAAGCAGCCCTTGGCCCCCTGGTACCACCAGAGCTGCTGGACACATCGCTGCCTTTTTACACCAAGTTGCTTGTAAAAGCTGAATGTAGTTTTGTAAACGAAAATGCAGACCCTCCCTCACCTGGAGAAGTGGCATCAAGCAACATAAAATCAATCGTGGGGAACAACATTACAATCCTCACACTAGTGCCTCACGGTCTTTCCAGCACATCAAATATTGAAACTGTCATTAGGAAAACGATTTTAAAGACAAGCAGGCTTCGGCGATTAGTGCCAGCCGAGTGGGCTGAGCCTCTGTCCATTGACCCTGCAGTCCCCTGTGGAGACTTTTTCCTTGAAAGTCACTGGGGGTGCATGTGTCTTTGAAAGGAGAATACGGTCATTTAAGACCTGTCTTCTCGCACCTGAAGCCATCAGCCAGGACCCTCTCTCCCTCCCAGGGGCCCCTGGTGAGAATTTCCTCCTGCAGCCCAGGGTCTGGTACACAGCCGGCACTCCACAAAGGCGGGCTGAGCAAGGCGTGGTCTCAGGGCCCAGGGTCTGGGTTCATTCCAGCCGCAGATCTGGCTGCCCCTCCCCTCAGGCTCCGAGCTCTGACACTGAGGGCTGGGCAGGTCTGCCTCCCACTCTGTCCCCATGCCCTGGGGCTCCCCAGGGAGGGCAGGCGTGGCAGGAGTGCGTGTTTGCCTAATGAGTGGCCGGAAGCTCACGCAGCAGGATTTATAAGCCACATGGGACATTAACTCCAGGAAAAAGAACCTCACTCCCAGAGGGTGTCAAGTCTCCTTGTGGGTGGGGCAGCTCATTCCTCCTGGGTGATTCACTGAGGCCAGCAGGGTGGGGTTGAAGGCCCCAGGGACGCAGTCCTCTGTGTCCCTGAGCGAGTCTCAGCTCCCCTCTGGCCTCAGTGTCCACATCTGGACGGGAGATAGAGTCCAGAGCACGCGGCCACCACCCCAAAAGTCTGCCATCCAGATTTGGTGCTCTGTGCCTTGTATACAGCAAGCACTAGATAAACGCTTTCACAGTGGTGGCTCGTATTATTATTTAAACCCTGGATCCACCACTGATCTCAGAGTGACCCTGGGCAGGCATTCCCTTTTGCAAAGCCTCAGTCTCCCCATCTGTAAAATGAGACAATGCTGCCCTCACCACAGGGCTGGGGGGAGGGGCGGGTAACAAGGAAGCCCAAGACGCAGAGCACAGAGGCACCCCATGGGGAGCTGCCTTCTTGGAAGCCCAGGACGCTCTGTGCAAATGAGTGGTAATAGTGATCACAGGGCCTCCAGCACCCTCCCGTGGCTCCTCGTAACCGGGCACCTCACACCAGCATCCTGTCTGCTTCTCTTAAGAGCCTGTGACAAGGGAGCCTTTCTTGTCCCCAGTTTACAGCAGAGGAAACTGAGGCACAGAGAGAGGTCACATAGTGAGTGACAAGACAACAGTTTCTGAAGCCTGAGCCCTCACTCCTGGTCAGTCACCTCCTCTTCCAGGAAGCCCCCTGGATTGCTCCTCCCCAGCCCACTGTGCACTGTGTTGATACCAAACAGAAACTGGGTTTATGGCCTTGGGTGCTGCACACCTACTTCCTCCTCCCTGCAACTGACCTCCTGCCCTCGGGGCAATGGCCTATTACAGGGGCCTGGGGCTCAGACAGGGCTGGTTACACAGCAGGGAGGGGCTCCTGGGGGGTCTCCTTCCATCACTTGGGGCTATCATTCCCGGGACCCTGACTGGGCAGAGCCCCCAACCCCTGACACACCTGAGCACTGGACTGAGTCTCTGCCCTCCTGAGGCTGGATGCCCCCTCCTGTGAGTCCCAGCCAGACCCTGATGGTGGCAGGGGGGCAGGGTTATATGCCGCTCAAGGGTCCCCCAAGCAAGGATCTGGCTGGTGCTGGAAAGATTTCTCCCCAGAACCCTTTAGAATTCCCAAAACCAATGTGAGGCCTCTGTGCCTCTGGCCCTGGGGGGGCGCCAATCAGGCCCCTTCCTTAGAGGGTCTGGGCTCAAGGTTCTTGGATTTGGGGGCCTGATGTCTGGGGTGGAAACTGGGGCCCCGGCAAGGTTCAGAGTTGGGAACAGAGTGGGAAGAACACAGCCCTGGGCACAGAGCCAGCCTGGGGGTGCAGAGCAAGAGGAAGCCTCCACCAGCCCCTGGGCTCCCCCTGCGCCCAGAGAGGGGTGGGGTGGGGACTGGGGCTCCCTCCCCGTACCCTGAAGTCCCCACAGGTGAGCAGATGGTGCCACAAGCACACCACCCCCTGCCTAAAGCCAACCCCACCCCTCCGCAGGACCCCTGCCCGCCCAACCTTTGAGTCCAGCCTGCCCGCAGGCCCCCCAGCCTCACCCACCGGCTCTCAGCCCGCAGCAGCCTCCAAGCTTGGCTCTGGCTCCGTGGCTGGCACAGGGGCCTCCTGGCCCCGCCCGGCCCCAGGTTGCCGGGGGACAGGGCCCTGTACCGGGAAGCAGGTGTACCCCTCCTTGAGGCCCCACCCAGGCTCCAGAAACAAAGTCCAGAGGAGGAGAAAGGTGACACCAGTAGAGCGGAGGGCGGACACCACGCCCACTGGGCACTGCCCCTAGGTCCCCAGGCCCCCAGCTCACACAGCTGGAGCTGCAACCCCCACCGAAACCCTCCAGCTGCCATCTGGCCCTCCAGCTACCTCTCAGCACTGCTCAGAGAGGGGCTGTCCGTTGCCCAGGGTCACACAGCAGGTCCACGATCCAGAGGCTGTTTCTCAGAGGGGGTTTAAGTACCAAACCACCACCTGGCGCAGCCCACCCTTTGGGGCCACTTCCCCAGAGAGCCCGTTTTTGGGACAAGCCCGGCTTCCTAGCCTCTGGGAGGTTCAGCTGGTCCCAGGTTCAAGTCTCACTTAACCCCTGGGAGCCTCTGTTTCCTCCTCAGTGAAATGGGGACATCAGCCCACTTCCACATACAGGATCAGATGAGGACACCAAAGTCTGGGATGGGTGAGGCTGAGGCCCCAGTGGCAGATGGAGGCACTGAGGCTCAAGATGCTAGGTCAGTCCTCCCAGGCACTCAGCTGTCCCGTCTGAGTCTCGGTCACAGCGCAGAGGACCTGCCGGACCCCTGGGAGCCCAATGTCTCTGGGGGAGTTGGGCCACTAGGCATAGCAGTCAGTCTATGGGGAAGGGGATATAGTCTGTCCCTCTGGCTGGGGCTCTGTCCCAACCTGCCCCTTGGCTGACTCAGAGGCCCCTGCGAACCTCAGTCTCTTCTTCCATCAAATGGGCCCCCAGCTCCCAATCTGGCAGGGCTGCCCAAGGGGGGGTGATTTTAGGACAGGTTTGGAGAAAGGGCCTAATCCAGAATTCCAACTTGTGTATGGTATGTGCCAAGTCTGTGAAAACCTGGGGCACACTGCTGCACTTTCCCTCCCAGCACCCCCAAGGCCCCCATATCCTTGTTTTGCAGATAAGGAAACTGAGGCACAGAAATCTCCAAGTCCCACCGAAGGGCAGAGTGTCAGCAGCGGGATTGGGATTTTGACCTGAGCCCCACTCCTGGTCTCTGCACCCCACTCACCACCTTCCTGCTCTTATGGGGATTGGGGAGACCCCAAAGGGCAGAGACTGGGTCACCCAGCATGTTGGGGGCCCTGTGGAGGTGAGGATTCAATCTCCTGCTCCCAGACTGGGGTGGCTTCCCCCCCAGGGTTCATACAGCCCACCATACAGATGGGAAAACTGAGATTCAGAGAGGGCAGCGACTCCTCCCAGATCACACAGTGAGACAGACACAGCCCCCAGAAATGCCTCCTCCCCACGTCCCCCCAGGGGAATGTGAGCTCAGCAAGGGGCAGCCCCAGCTACAGGATGGGGTGGGCCAGGTGCAGGACCCAAGGGCTCCACGAGAAACAGAAAGGAAGTCCTGCCACAGGCAGCTGCCCCCGTACCTCCAGGCCTTACCTGCCCAGGTGCTGCTTGGATGCACACAGGTGCAGGTGGGGACTCCGCCAACACCCCACACACCACCCTGGGGTGAGCCTTAGGGATGTGCGGGCTGCAGAAGAGAAACCAGCTCCCCTGGGTTCCGTGAGCCTCCTTTTAAGGCTAGATCGCCCTGGCAGGGCCCCACCCCTGGCCTGGCCACGCCCTCCCCACCCAGGTGAAACCCAAGAACTCCAGGTCCTGGGGCTGTTCACACTGTTTATTTGCTTCTCTGGGAAAGTCAAGAACATCGGGGCCTCATCACACATCGAAAGCAGAGGGGCGGCAAGGGCACTTCAGCGGAGGCTCACAGCTCGAGGACTCGGGTGGACTCGAGTAGGGGGGGGGATTCCATGGCCACTGCCCAGGGTCGCCTCAGAGAGGGTCTCTCCTCCCAGCCACCAGGGGCAGAGCTGAGATAGGGACCCAGGCTGTGGTCCAGGGCAGCCCCTGCACCCACCCTGCTGAGGCAGGAGCAGCCTGCGCCCTGGGCACCAGGCTGCAGGCTCCTGGGGGAGGGGCTGGTGATGGGGCCT